GAAAAGTAAATGGACTCCTGGGCTCACATACCTAGTAACAGGTCTAACTACCTGGTGTCAAGATGTTAGAGCATCAAAGGCGCCAAAAATCAAGCTAGCTCACACGGGCAGCCTATCAAAACAAAACAAAAAGCTAGGAAACAGTAAGCAAATATAAAATAAATAAATGTAATAACTGATGGCTCAGAGACAACAGTCAGTATCAAACCACATAAAGAGGCAGACTATGATGACTTCAGCAAGCCCTCCAAAACAAAGAATCAAGAAATGTTCTGGAGGAAGAGACATTCTTGGAATTACCAAAGGTAGAATACAAAAGATTAATATACAGAACTCTTTCAAGAGATCAGGAAGGAGATTAGGCAAAACCCAGAACAAGCCAAGGAACACACAGACAAAACAATAGAGGAACTTAAGATTAGAGAAGAGCGTAATGACAAATTTAATAGGCTGCAAGAATCCACAGAGGGACAACAAACAGAAATCCAGAAGATTAACAATAAAATTTCAGAATTAGACAACTCAAGAGAAACTCATAGGAGCAGAATTGAGACAACGGAAGTCAGAGTTAGTGAGATTGAAGCTAAAGCTCGTGACACTAACTTATTTGAGGAAAAATCAGGTAAAAGATTTTAAAAAATGAAAAAACCCTAAGAATTATTTGGGACTCTATCAAGAGGAATAACCTACGAGTGACTGAAGTACCAGAACAGAGATGGATGACAGAAAATACAGAGAGAATTGCTGAAGATTTGTTGGCAGTAAACTTCCCTGATATCGTGAAAGATGAGAAGGTATCTATCAAAGAAGCTCACTGAACCCCACAAAAGGTAGATTCCAAAAGAAAGTCACCAAGACATATTATAATCAAACTTGGCAAAACCAAAGATAACGAGAGAATTTTAAGAGCGGTTAAGGATAAACAAAAAGTCATCTACAAAGGAGAGTCAGTAAAACTAAGCTCGAACTACTACTCAGCAGAAACCATGAAGGCAAAAAAGGCAATGGGATGACATATATAAAGACTTGAAGGAAAAAAAATTGACAGCCAAGAAATATATATCCAGCAAAACTGTCTTTCAAATATGATGGTGAAATTAGGGCATTTCCAGATAAACAGAAGTTGAGGGAATTTGTAAAAACCAAAGCAAAATTACAAGAAATACTAAAGGGAGTCCTCCAGTCAGAAAATCAATAACATCAGATAACAACCCAAGACTAGAACACAGGACAGAGCAACCAGATTTCAACCCAGTTAGGGAAGACTCAAAAACAAATCAAAGTTAATATGCTGAAAATAGGGAAACAGAGACGTCAATATTTACAAGATGACAACATTAAAACAAAAAAGAGGGACTAAAAAGTGTTCTCATAGATCTTTCATATGGAGAGGAAGACACAGCGATATAAAGAAATAAAAGACTGGCATAAACTTAGAAAAATAAAAATAAATATTAAAGTAACCACAAAGGAAACTAACAATCTTACGTACCAAAATAAAAAACAAGAACATAAAGACTCGGCAAAAACAAAATCAACAACAATGAAAAAGATGAAAAGAAAATACATAAAGAAAAATGACTCAGCACAAAAAAATTAAGGGGATGAGAGAAACTGTCAACAACACACAAAAAAGACATCAAAATGACAGCACTAAAGGCATACATATCAATAATTATGACGAATGCAAATGGACAAAATGCACCAATAAAGAGACAGAGTGGATTAAAAGAACACTATCTGTATACTGTCTACAAAAGACATACCTTAGACTCAAAGACACAAACAAACTAAAACTCAAAGGATGGAAAAAATATATCAAGCAAACAACAATCAAAA